AGGTGGGTCTTAGGAATCTGGGAGGAGCGTGCAGGAGCACGAGAGAGGAAAACCCAACTCAAATAGTGCGTTAAGTGAAGCCAAGAGCGAGCGGAATGAAGGTTTGTGGCCAAATGAGAAAACAGAGACCTTGAACATTCTCAATGAACCAACATGGTTCCGGAAGGCAGGTCTTGCCAGGATCCGGGGCTCTGGAAGGGCCCAGAGCAGCTCCTTCCATCTGCCTTAGCTGCAGCATCAGGCATCTGGCAGCTCCTCGGGAGAGGTGGAGGACGGCCTCTTGCTGTCTGCTGCCCTTCACAGCCCTGGCACAGGCCTCCACGCAGATGCCACACTTAGTACCAACCTGTTGCCTGTGATGGGGCCCACGGGGGGCAGGCCAGCTGCCCACCCCGGCTCCCCACGCACAGAACGGCCCTGACCAGAGCTCTGGCAGAGCTGCAGACAAGGCCGGCTCTCTCCCTGCCCCTCCCAGGTCTGGCTTAGGTTCTCTTCCTGGGAGCCAGTTCCCATCCACCCACGGAGGCAAGTGAGTCCTGATGCTACCCCGTGGAGGACGCGGGATCCCCAGCCCTGGCCCTGCAGACGCGCCCGTGCCTGCCGCCTGCCGGGGCACTAATCCTTTCCTACGGCTCGGCTGCAGAGCTTGTAATGCTATTTCCAACTCGGAGAGATCTGGGAGATGAGATTTTAAAGGCTAGTTATTTATGGGCTGGCTCCTGATGGATAGAACAGAGGCGATTTCATGGGCTCCATCAGCAAGAACCGTTTCTTGGTGTGGCTTAAAGCGTCGTGATGAGGTGGGGAAGGAGAAGGGACCGGGGCATCCCATAGCCCAGGGGGGGAGGCAGCAGGATCCACATCTCAGCTGGAGCAGGCCCAGTGGCTCCCAGCCACTGAGACGGGCTCAGCCTCCTGTGTCAATGAACAATGCAGGTGTGATGGGAGTGTCTCCGCCCGCCCTGGCCCGACCTTGCTCCTGGCATTCACAGAGGGTGACACTGCAGAGGAACAGCCTAAGACACTTCTCAACAGTTAGGTCTCGGCCTATATCCTGTCCCCTCAGTGAGTTCCTCCGGCCCTTCATCTTGTAGCAGAATCTACGCTAGTCTCATTCCGCACCCTGCTCATCTCTCTCACGGAGCACGGTGGAGGTATTTTATGTTTGTTCAGTGATTAGTGTGTAAGAGCTCGGTGTCACCAAAATAGATCATGAGTCCCACAAAGGCCCGGGCCATGTCTGTATTCCCAGTGCTGAGCCCTGTCTGTGTCCCCAATGAGAGAAGAGCCCCAGCAGTTTGAGTGAACTTTGATGGACAGATGTCGGCCATGAAGATGGAGATAACGGAGTGACCTGGGGGATGGTGGAGATACTGCTGGGGAAGATGAGTCGTCCTCATCAGGATGACTCTGCGGGGTCACCTGGAACACCAAGCCTGGGGACAGAGCTACCGAGTTCCCCAGTCTTCTCCCAAGGGCTGTGTATCATGGCCAAGGGCAGCGGTGCCCCTGCTTCCAGCCTCAGGGCCTTCCTGTCCGTGACCTTGACTTCCTCATCAATGCCCAGTGTGTGCTGGACATCTGGCCAGCGAGCACCAGCACTCCAACTCTGCCCCAGCCCCGTGGTCCTCTGTTCGATGAGCAGACCAGCAGAGACCGCCAGCCAGGGCCGTGGGACTCGCCCTGGACCCTCCCCAGTCCTCACCCCTCCTTCCCCGTGAGCCCCCAGACCCAGCCAGTTCTGCCAGACTTTTTGATAACGCCTTGTCCTCCCCCTCCCTTCACAGCTGCCCCGGCTCAAGGTTGGATCAGCCCGAGCCTGGGGTGGCCGCAAAAGAGACTTATAGCTGGTTTCTAGCCCCTGCGGTGTGACTGAATCAAAGTTTAGAGTGGTCGTCGTACGTCCCCGCTAAACCCCCGCTGTCGCTCTCCACAGCCTGGGAACTCGCTCTGACCCTGCACATGGGCTGGGTTCTCCCTGAACTGCCTGCCCCTCCGGCCGTGTCCCCTGAACCTGGCTTACAGAACCCAGACATAGCCGGACTCTGTCCTGCTCCACACTGCAGCAAGATGGCTCCTCAGTTCAAGTCAAAGGTCAACCCCCAGGTCCCCCATGAGTGCCTCCGTCACTCTGAGGAGACGGACACATTCTGCAGGGCAATCTGTTTCCGCCTTCCTAGTGCCAGGTTCTCCTTGGTTGGACAGCCCCTACTCCCAGCTCAAGGTCTGGGTGGGGTGTGCCATCATGTGACCCGGGTCTGGCCAATGAGGTCACCTTCTCGCTCCAGGGTGTTGAGGCATGGGCACGTGACCCAGTCATGTCGAATCAAGGTTTAGCTGGGAGTTTTTACAGGAACCATCTGGAAAGCGCTCCCTTCCAGTTAGGATTGCTGAAAGAGAGACTTGATGGACATGGATGTCACCTTTGCCGGCTCATGGGGATAACCTGCCTGAGAATGCAGCTGACACATAGGACAGCAAACCCTTGGGAGGGGGAAACAACATTATTTGTATGCCTTGATCCAGCAGTACCTGAAGCCAACTCCTGGGCTTTTCAGTTACAGAAGGCAACACATTCCCTCCATAGCTTAAGTCAGTTAGAGGTGGGTTTCTATTTCTTGAACTGGAAGATTCCTGGCTGTGACATTTGTCTTTTCATTCCCTGGGGGATCTTCTCTCTGCCTCTTAGAAAAGTACCTAACATATGATATTATAAAACATTGAACAATATTCTGCCTCTTGGCTCTGAGTGTGCGCTCCAGGGTCCTGAACAGTGCATGGCTATTACATAAACATTTGTGGAGTGAATCAATGACTCCTTAGGAACCCAGACTGTGTCTTTTGTCTCCCCAGCACCCAGGCGAGCCTGCTGCGTCCAAGGGTCTCAACAAACGATTATGGAGAATAAATAGGGGGAAAGTAACAATGAACGTAAATAATCTAAGCCGATGGTTTGATAAAGTGCACGTGAGTGAGCAAATAAGCAAATAGTTATTATTAAGAGATCCCCGTTGGCACGTAATTCTCACTCTAACTCTATCTGCATCTAATGGCTTCTGTAAGAAATTTCTAGTTAAAAGTCATGGAGATCAAATGTTTCTAGTTGGCTTAAATTCCTAGTGTGTAAAATGCCTAATGATTAAAACAAGGTCTTTCAAAAGGAGAAAGGATCTCACTAGCAAAAAATTCAAACTGAACGTCAGCTTTTGTCTCCCCACCTACAAATACGAAATCAAACAAGCGAAGGAGAACAAAGTGAAAGAACTCCTCCTGGCTCCCAGGAGGTGAAGAGGCAGGGCCAGGTGAGGAGGGTCAGCCTTGCGCCCCACGGACTGGCTGCTGGATTTGGGTGGCCCAGCTGCTTCCCAGGGAAAGACTCTGTCTGAAAGCAGCCTGTGGGTCCATGGCCCAGGAGCCGACCTGGGAAGCGCAGAGGGAAGGAGGGGCTTTCTTCTCCTCTTCTCAGGGGCAGGGAGCTGCCTGGGCTCAGAAGTGGACACCAGGGCCCCTGGGAGGGGTGTGTGGTGGGTGCATTTCCCTGGAGAATGCCTGGGACCGGGTCCTCTCCACCCAGCATCCCAGGGACCAGGGAGCTCCCACTCTTTGGCAGAGAGAACCAGGCAGCACCTTTAGAAGACTCTCCTCCTGCCCTGTCATTATCAATGTCACCTTGGTCCCCTTGCCGAGGCCTGGCTCAGATGCAGCCTCCACCCAGGGGCCTTGCTCTCCTGCCTGGGATAGTGTCTTCCTGTGAAGCCCTGCAATCGGCTCTTTTCCTACTCTCAAGGTGCTCAGAGGAGGCAAGTCTGTCACCTACAGGACTGTGGGGACTGGGTCTGGGGACATAGTGAATGGGCAGGCAATGATCATGTGATCAAATGATCATGTGATGGGGGTTTGCATGGTGGGGGGTGTACATGATGGGGGAGCCCAAAGTTCCTTCCCCCACATGGGAATTCTTTGTGGGCCCTAGAGCCATCCCCATGTCTTTGGTTGTGACTCTGGAACAGCCTCAGTGGGTGACTCTGGGCCCCTCTTGCCCACCCTTACGCATCTGGCCCCCAGGACAAGCCTGGCTTGAGTCTGAGTGCAAGGCAGGCCCTAGCACACCTGCCCACCCTGATCTAGGAAGAAATTGCCCCTGGAGGGACAAGGAGACAGGAAGGCCCAGGGAACCTCCAGCCTCAAGGCCAGAGACAGTGAGGGCCGTGGAGGAGATGCCCCCCGCCCCGTGTCCACAGGCTCAGTCTCTTTTTTCTGTTCCCTGGGCTCCTCGGGGCAGGGGCTACACCAACTGCTGTGGAGAGCCCAGGTTCCCAGGCCGCACCAGCAGCCAGCCCTGGTGAGGCTCATTGGCCAGGCGGGGGCTGGGCGGGACAGAGTGGTGGCACTTCCCACCATGAGCCTTCAAGTTGCAAAAGCTCTGCCCCCCACCCCCCGCCTTCTGACCTTTGCAAGGGCGTCCTCCACTCTGACCCAGGGATGCCCCAACCAGTTCCCAGACCCTTCACCCAGAGCCGGGTCCTTCTGGGCAGCCACGCTGTGCCTTTCTGCCTGGTGAGATGCCACCAGGTGTGGATGACGGCCTCAAGGACGCCACTGAGAAGGGGACCCACGAGGCTCAGCTTGCTGGAGATGCCTGCCTCACCCATTTTGCCTTAGAGATGAGCCCTGAGCGCTGATCGCGTCCCAGGACTGTCCGGCCCGTGTGGGGCCAGGCAGCGGCTTGCTGGCCTAGGGCTCTCAACGTGCTTGGTGGCTTGAGTTACGAGCCCCGTTGTCAGATGTGGAAACTGAGGCCCAGAGAGGTCAGTGGATATCCCAGGATGACACAGCCACGGGGCGGACCTGGGTTTCCAGGCCATGCTGATGACCCCCAGCCTGTGCCCTGCTCCACAGACGCCCTCCACAGCTGGACGCCTAACCCCAGGGGGACGTGCTGGCCCCCTGACCCATGTTGTTGGAGGGGATGTCTGTCTGTCGTCTGTCTTTTTTCTTAGCCCAGAGGAGAATTCAGAAGAGAATCAACAGGAGGAGGAGGGAGACGTTCGGGCCAGCGGCTTCTGGTGCCGGGACTCCGCTGACTCCGCCAAAGCAGAGGTGGCCCCAGTGACCCGGAGCCCCGTGTATTCAAGTGACCTCCACATCTCTGGGTCCCAGCCCTCCAAAAATGTCCAGGGCCTCGTGGTGGACATTAGCAACAGGACGGCAGTTTCCTCTCATTTGGGGGGAAGGAGAACGCTCAGAACCGTCCGAGGGAACCGAGTGGGTCAGAGCAGAGCAAGGAATGGGCCACCTGCAGAAGGGTCAGGTGAGAAATCTGGCCTCTAAGTTGAGTTGAGTGAACCAGAGACAAAGTGTGTGTGTGCATGTGTGTGTGTGCATGTGTGTGTGTGCATGTGTGTGTGTGCATGTGTGTGTGTGCATGCGCGCACAGTGACGGAACAGCACCTAATCTACTGTCTGGATTGTTGACACCCAGCTTTTGCTCCTGGTCAATGTCACACACACGGTGCAATTCACATAGGGAGAGTGACTCGAAGCCCCAAGGGACTCTCCAAACATGCCAGAGCAGCCAGGCTCAGTTCTCACCAAAGCGACAGCCTTTTCCTGTCCCAAACACGCACGGCTGGACTCCCCAGGCCAGCGTGGACCACCAATGGGCACATGGGCACCACAGGGCTCTGGTGACGGGCAGGCACTGCTGTTTATGTGGGCTCTGGGGCCCATCATCCTTGATGTCAACACGAGGTGACCAAGGGACTATTTCCTGCCACATTTTGGCTGTGGGTGGTCTTTTGTTTTACAAAATGATGTGCTTGTAGAGTTGACAGGTTTTCTTCTACGAGTCTCACTTGACATAATAAAAAAAAAAAATCATCCGTCCTAGGTTTCCACGACTCTTTTACTAGTCCCTCACCCGGCCTTAAACCTCTCCCGAGGTTCCCCACTCGAGGGAGGCGCAGGTGTGGACACCGAGTCAGGGACATGGCCCGCCCCCTTCTCTTCTGCCTGCTGCCCGGTACAGGACATGCAGATTTTTTTTTTTGATCTTTCAAAGGGGTCCCCAATTTCTCGACAGGTAAAGGGATGGCTCTCTGTTCAAATCCATCTTCTCCAACAGGATCTGTTGTCTCTCTCTGCCTCGGCACAGAACAGCCTGAAGTCTTAATGCGCACAAATAAAAGCAGTCTGCTCGTAAACCCGCAGCATCGGGTTTTCACAGGGAGCCGGGGATCCATAAAGGAGAGGGGCCGCGGACAGCGCATCCCTCCCACATGGCCCAGCCTCCACGTCGGTTTCCCGTAATTGCTCTCTGCGCGTATAAATTAGAACAACAAATGCATCCTGCCTGGGATGGTGACACCAACCCTGTAAATAATTATAATTTAATCTTATAGCAAAGAGTTCTCAATGACTCCCCCAACGATTTCCTCTGCTTAATGCCTTCCCCACTGAGTGACTTAATAGGAAACGAAGACTCTTTTGAGATTTGTTTCAGTCGAGAAGCTTGGACAATGTGTAGACTCACCCCTGGGGGTGCAGGGGCTGTGGGAGACGGTGGGACCCACCGATAAACAAGTGAATCAAACAGGGTTTGAGCCTGGGAAAGAGGGGACCGGTGAGAATATCCACCTGGGCATCTCTTTATACAGTAAAAACAATCCAACAAGACATCTGAGTAAACTATGCCACAGTCTTAAGAGGGAATGACACACAGCCATGAAAGCCACCACAAATGGAGTATATCCTTGTGTGCTGTCCTGAGAAGACAGGAATTAGAATAGGCCTAACCTGGAGGAGGGTTCGAATCCCAGGTCTGTACCTTACTAGCTATGTGACCCCAAACAAGTAGCCTAACCTCTCTGGGCCCTGTTTTCCTCATCTGCGAAGGGAGGAAAATTATGCAACCCACTTCATAGAGTTTTTATGGAGAAGAAATGAAATTTTAGCTAGAAAGAGCTTAGAACTGGCCTGTCACCTATTGGTAGTAAATGCTCAATAAATGATACATTTATCATGCCTTTTATAGTTTGGAGGGCATCTGTAACAAAATAGGAAAAAATTTTCATGATCTCATGCCAAGTTAAAAATACATGACTACAGATATATTAAGATCATAATTTTGTAATATCAAAATACACAAATATAAAATATTAACATTGCCAGCTAGCTTGATCTAGGCCAGGCAAAAAAGGACCAAGGGGGAATATGACAGAATTTTAATCATTGTTATTCATTTCTCTCTACCTCGGTAGGTTTTCTCTGTTTGGTCTTCCTTTTACAATTAAAAAAAAAAAGTATTTTACCAAAAGAGGCAGGGGTCAGAGGTCTGGGGCAGGCCTCTCACGGGGACTGTAGTGCAGAGGAGGCTCGGCTGACCTCTGACCCCACTCCCTTCTAGCTCCAAGGCTGGTTTAGGGAACCCCGACCTCCAGGGGGCAGAGCCAGGGGCTTCTCTCAACCTCCCAAGGTCTCCGGGCTGCATCCACCCCGCTGGCCACTGCATCAGGAAGCCTGATTTCTCCTGGGCACACTGGTCTCCAAATCGGGGTCTGTCCTTGGGCAGAGTCCATTCCCACAGTGTCCCTCCAGGTCATCAGGCGTGATTCCTGCCCTGGGTCCTGTGATCCACCACAGCCCTGATGCCCAGGGACCCCACCTTGTCTGACTCTGGCCCCGGCCACTCCTGCTTCTCCCAGCATCCTCTCCGACAGCCCATCTGCAGCAGAGGCCACAAAGTCCATGAGCACATCTGGACACATCCTTCCCCGGGCTCCTGTTGCGCAGACAGAGCTCCACAGGTCTCGTCCCGGGGACACGACCACAGCCACCCCAGGAGCCCGGGAGCCCCTCGACCCGACAGGCAGCTCCTGAGGCCAACCTGGGTGCGGGCACATCTGAGTCCACATCTGGGAGACCCCAGGCAACCAAGGCTGCTAAGTCCTCAGCCACCCGTCTCCCTGACCCAGCAACGTCCCAGGACATCCATGAGACACACCACGGGCAGCTGGCACCCTTGGCAAAGCTGGTGGATGTCTCTGTGCACACACCAACACACAGCGCCGTGCCACGCGCCCCAGGGCCCTGGGCGTGGGAAAGGGATCGCCCCGGAAAGTTCTGGTCCCATGGTGGGACCTGAGTCTTACACCAATCTCTCAATGAAACAATAGCTCAGGTAGTGTCACCGAGACCCCGTTCGCGTCCTGAAACCAGAACACTTTAGTCTCAATGCAAGTCACCGACCCAAGGCCCTTCGCTCTGCCTCAAGGACACACTTCGAATCAGACACGGAAATCGCTGTTAAAATCCACCCGAGTTTTAACAACACGGAGCGGTTTCTCATCAGGGCGAGACGGAAAGGCTCCGAGCAGGAGTCGAAGGAACAACGAACTGGCCGCGTCCTGGTGCAGGGCCAGAAACCAGAGCGCAGGATGGGCAGGAAGGAGCGGGCGCTTACCAGAGGGAGGAGCCTTCGGTCCCCGTGACCTCCAGGAAGTCGTACCCGTCCTCCAGCTGGAAGTCGATGAAGACCAGGGCGATGGTGTCCCCCAGCTCGGCCAGGATGGTCCACGTGCAGTCGGCGTTGTTGTGGTACTCGGAGGGGAAGTGGGGGCTGGAGATGATGCCACTCTGGCCCCGCAGGGTCCCGCCACACGCATCGTCCGCTGTGGGCACAGACAAGGGGTTCACGTCAGAGGTCTGGTCCCCAGGACCTGGCACTCGGGCAGAAAGGGGCCCAGAAGGTGGCACACAGACCGTTCACACGGGATCCTGGCCTGAAGGGGCAGAAGAAAAGTGACTTTGAACTCTTCCACATCCTTTCCTGGGTGCTGGGCACCGTTGGGAGGATTTCAGATATGGCTGTTTTATATAACAGATATGGAAGATCAAAGCCCAGAGAAGTTGAATAACCTGCCCAGCGTCACACAGCTAATGAACAGCAGAGCTCATATCTGGACCCTCTCCTAGTAAGCGCTCTGTTAACCACGATCCCACACCGCTCCACGATGACCAGGAAGGAGCAGAAATCAGCCACCGTGTTGATCTTCTTCATGGTCACGACTGACAGGAATAGACAGTCTCTTCCCACCAGATCTTAGGTGGGATATTTGATAAGACAGAAATTCAACACAACTCCCTGGGGCAGAACCCCAGGGCACTTGAGCCCGACAGCCCCGCTCCACCTCTGCCGTCTCCTCCTGCCCTGTCCCCCAGCCATCTGGGACCCAGCCTTGTGCACGTCCCAACCTCTTGCATGATGGAAAGTGCTGAGGATTCAGTTCAATAAAACAAGAGCCACTGCCCCATGATAAAGGCCTCCATGGCCAATAAAGAACTCTGGCAAAGGAGGTGGTGACAAGAGCAGAAGGGACAGGTGTGTCCCATGGGGCATGGACATTTTGAAAAGGGTGGGTCAGAAAAATGTCACGGAGAAGTTGATATTTCAGCCAAGACCTGAAGGAGGGAGAGAGGACCCATGTGATCATCTGCAGGAAGAGCATTCCCATAGCTGGAGCAGCAAATGCAAAGGCCCTGGGGTACCGAGGCCTGCACTGTTGAAGAACATCAAGAGACCTGAGAGGATGAGCAGTAGGAACAGGGAAGAGAGTGGCAGGGGACAAGGCCAGGGAGGGCTGGACAAGGAGGGCCTCCGAGGTGCCCGTGAGGACATGGGCTTTGACTCACATGAGAGGAGAAGCCAGTGGAAGGTTCTGAGTGGGGCAGTATTAGTAGAATCCCTTGGGCTGCTGCAGAGAGCAGACCACAGAGGCGGAGGCAGAGAGCAGGGCGCCCGGTGAGGCCGTTGGGAGGATCCAGGTGAGGAAGGATGGCTGGGGCCAGGTGGCAGTCGTGACACATGGTCAGGGGCTGGCAGGACATAGTGCACCCAGAGCCACCTGCCTCGGGGCCTCGGGGAGAGGGCGTCTGGGACAGAGGGAAGGACAAGAGCAGGCAGCTGGGGTTGGCAGGGGTCTCCTCGCAGGCAGGGAGGTGGGACGCGGGGGGGGGGGGTAGGAGGAGAAGGGCTGCCCAGCCAGGGCCCTTGAGGGTCAAGACGGGGGCCGGGGTTCTGGCTCCTTCTCTCCTCTGGCCTCCCCCGCCCCATCCAGCTGCCCAGGGCCCAGGGAGGAGGCCCAGAGGGGAGGCAGACAGGTCGGCCCTGCTGGGCTCTAACCCCCGTCAATGGCCCGTGGGCCCTCTTCCTGTCCCTCCTGGCACTCTCCCGCTGGCCTCTCTGCAGGAGCCCACAGAGCCTGACCTCTGAGGCAGTGTGTCCCCCGCGGATGTGAAAAAATTCACCCTGAGCAGCTCGGGGGAGCTGAGCCTGGGAAGGCAGGTAGCCAACAGGGGCCTCGCCTGCGTCACTCCCAGCGAGCACTGGGCCTTCGGGGGCCAGCACTCCGTCAGTCGGGGACAGTCCACAGTCCCAGCCACGATGGGCCACTCTGGGCCTGGGAGGCCATGGTGAAGCCTTGAGAAAGGACAAGAGCGTGCCGGAGGCCCCCAGGCGACAAGGCCGGGGCGGTGTGGGGCTTGGGGAGCCACCTGTCACCCACCGCAGTGGTGCCCGTGGACTGGGAAGGGAAGCCTTGGTCGTGCTGGGGGCTGGGGTCTGCGGTGTGGTGACGAGGGCCTGTTCTAGAAGGATGACTTTGGTCCCGAGTGATGGCTAGATGGCGGGTTTGGGGGTGGGGATGGTGACAGGGAGAACAATGAGGGGGTTCCAGGCATCAGAGCAGGTGGTGGCCGAGGGGTAGGCATGGGGAAGGTCAGGAGGAGTGGGTGGGTCCCCAGCAGGGAAGAGGGTGGAGATGGGGTTCACGAGGAGCAATGAGCCCTGGGGAGGAGCCACCCTCTGGGAGGAGGAGTGTCCTCAAGCTGGCCCCGCCCACGGCCACCTTGAGGGTCAGCTCCAAAGACAAGGTGCTGGTCCCAGGATGTGGGACCCTGAGAGCACAGGGCCTGGGGTCAGTGGGACCAGTGGTGAAGGCTGCAGACAGTGGACAGGGGGGCAGCGGCAGAGAGGAGAGGAGAGGGCCCTGGAGGAGGAGGGAGAGGGCGGGAGATGGAGGACCAGGCGGAAAGGGGAGCAGGGCTGGAGGAGCCACCGTGGGGACCCAGGGACTCGGGCTGGCTGAGGGCTGGCAGGGGCCCTTCTCCAGACCCCTGTCCACGCTGCCCCCTTCACCTGGCCCTGTGTGCAGGAGGACAGCAGGGAGGCTGGGGAACGTGGGCCGTGGGCAGAGGGGCAGCTGCAAGGCCGTGTGGGCTCCTGTGGCTTTGAGGCCACGGGGCCAGCAGCAATGCCCCTCTCCAGGCAGCCCCACCCTCCTGGCCCCTTCCTCCCCAGCACCTGCTGTTCCACCAGGGCCCGGCCAGGGAGGCTCCGCGCTGCGCCAGGGCACGCAGGCTGGGGGGTCCCAACCCCACTGTACCACAGCCAGCCCACCAGCCCCTGGGAGCCTGGAGAGGCCCCCTCGTCTACTGCTGCCACGCAGCTCAAAGCCACGGCACCCTCCACATCAGTGGCAGCTCTCTGCCCCACCCCCGGCTCCAGGTGTCCCTCGTCCTCCAGTCTGTCCACCCTGCACAGCAGACAGAGTGATGCTAACAAGCACAACCTGAGGACCCACCTCTCCATAGGACCTCCCATGACTCCCACTGTCACTCAGGATCAGAAGGAATATCCGGTGGCTTCGAAGGACCCTGCATGGCCTTCTCAGCCAGTCTCAACCACGCCGGCCTTCGCCTGGCTCTGCTGGCTCATCCCTCAGTTCCCCGCTCCAGAACTTTTGAAAACCCTATTTTCTCTTTCTGGAACCTTCTCCTCTACCTTGTTGGGCCTGCCTGGAGCTGCCCTAGTTTTTAGGTCCTAGTCTAAGTTTCACTGGGCCTCTAGAACCTTCCAGAAGGTTCTTCTCTCCCCAGTTGAGATTTCAGAGCACTACATACTTTTTCATAATGAATTCTCATTTTTCGTTGGCCCATTCGTTGTTATTTAATATCGTTTTAGTCAGCGTTTTTGCTGCTGTGATCTGACCAGCGCAATTTAAGAGAGGAAGTTGATTGAGGGGCTCACGGTTTCAGAGATCTCAGTCCATAGACAGCTGGCTCCGTTCCATGAGGCTCCAGGTGAGGCAGGACATCATGGCAGAAGAGGGTGGCAGAGGGAAGCAGCTCACATGGTGACCAGGAGGCAGAGAGAGACTCCACTCTCCAGATACAATATAGACCCCAAAGTCACGGCCCCATGACCACCACTTCCTCCAGCCACACCCCACCTGCCTCCAGCCACCACTCAGTCAATCCCATCAGGATTAATGCTCTGATTAGGTTAAGGCTCTCATAACCCAATCATTTCTCCTCCAAACCTCCCTGCATGTCTCACCCAGGAGCTTTTGGGGACACCTCGTATCTAAACCATAACAAGTATCGAGACAGTAAACTGCCTGAAAGCAAGGCCATGTCAGCCCTATCTGCAGCCCTCAGCCAGCTGCAAAGCCCATCTGCTGAGCAAATAAATGAAACAGGAAAAACTGAAGCTCAGGCAGGGTAAATGACTTTCCCAAGGCCACACAGGAGGTGGTCAAGTTAGGGCTTCAGTGGAGTCCAGGGTGGCCTCTACCGTGACTCCCTGGGGTTTGGTGAGTCATCCTGAGATTTTTCAACTTCCTGATTTTAGCCAACGACTTCTGGACAAGTGTTGGGCGCTTATGTCCCTCAGACCAGAGCCACCATTCCACTGTGAAGATGCCACCCGTGCCTCCTGGGCCCTTCTGACTCCCTGGCTCTGGCCCCATCCTGTTTGGATTCAAGAGGCAGTAACAGCTGTCTGGCCACTTCCTCCTACTCTAAACAAGGCACCGCATTTC